TGTATTCAGCTAGGGTATCCACTAGCATTAGAATGACTCTGATAGCATCACTTCCATGTCAGACACTTCAGCTGGGGTGGCCAGAGCAGCTAGGGACTGAGTGGACCTCGCTCTCCATGTAAATCATTTGTTGTTTGGTTGCCTAGTATGAGCTTCTTTACATGGTTGCTAGATCTCAAAAGAGTGGAAGTTGAAGCTGTCAGGTCTCTTAAGGTCTAGGCCAGAACTGACACACAGTCATTCCACAGCATTCTGTTGGTCAGAGCAAGTTATAAAACCAGCCCAGATTCAGGCGGAGGAGAAACAGATTCCACCTCATGATGGGAGAAATGATGGGTGTCAGTCTGTGTAGACAGTCAACAAAAAAACTTAAATTCAAGTTATCTCTTTTTATGTTCACCAAGCCTTCATAGTTTTGCTGAAGACAACAATTACCAAAGAAGAAATTTTGTAAAAAAGATCCTTATAGTTCCTATTCAGGATTGCGGGGAGGGAGATTGTGTGCAAAAATATAATTATGTACTAGTTATTTAATAAATTCCACTCTGTTGCCTCAAATCTCCTTTGTTGCTAGTCCTCTGCATGAAGTGTTGATACTGAATATTTGCCTTGTCGTTCTTTACATTCACAAGATGTGTCACATGCCACTCATGTGATAAGAGCCTGATGTTACTGTTGAATAAGAGACAACAAAAGCGAAACTTTTACTTTTACTGAAACTTTCACTTTTAGTTACTATGAGCAAGGATTGGAATTTCTTTTCTATGCCCTCAAAAGTAGTAGTGTGAGCTTGTGACTTAATCACAGGGAAATTCAAGGGGACTCTTTTACTAATGAAGCTTGGTGGTGTGTGGAACTCCCTTGTAAGGTAGTAAGTGTTGGGGCCAGGTGTTCTCACATTCTCCTTTATCCGTGATAAATCTCTATACCAACATGCTTTTCTGTTTGTGTTCCTCTAGCTCCAGCCAAATCTTGAACAGAGGACTTTACACTAAGACCTCATTTCTTTTCTGTGAAATCTATCTATTCTTCTGTAACAACTTTATAAGTCATAAATTTGTCCTTATAAAATATTAATCAGACTCATGCCTGTAATCTCAGCACTTTGGGAGGCCAATGCAGGAAGATTACTTGGGCCCAGGAATTTGAGACCAGTATGGGCAACATAGTGAGATTGTGTCTCTACAAACAGTTTTTAAAATTAGCCAGGGGTGGCAGTGTACACCTGTAATGCCAGCTACTTGGGATGCAGAGGTGGAAGGAATGCCTGAGCTCAGGAGGTTGAGACTGTTGTAAGCCATAGTTATCCCACTGTACTCCAGCCTGGTGACAGAGTAAGACCCCAACTCAAAAAATAAAATTATCAAATGAGTAGGATGGGTGTGTACATGTGTGTGAAGAATGAAATTAACCAGCCTCTGTCACAAAACCCATGTAGCTGGTGGGGCTGAGAGTGAGACAGGGTTCAGATGGAAAATTCCTTATAAAGGTCTGCTTTCCAGAACTCCAGGCTGGGAGTTTATGCTAATTTTTAGTGTGAAGATAGTTTACAAATGTATCATTTGCACTGGCTTCTTTATATTTAATATTTTTATGTTATTACTTTGGATCTATTTGTTCTTTGAGGTAGGCTATGTTCTATATAACAGAAACGTTAAAATAAATGACCATAATATAACTGGACATTGCTGCAATGATTGAAGCATTTAGAGGAGGAACTAAGGGTTATGAAATAAAGCAGGCACTCACCTCTGGGAATCCCAGTGAGGTGTTCACTAATAGTTTGGAATGTACCCAGTGAACTTTTATTTCCTTAGTGTTTGAAATGGGGGAATCTTCATAAAAATCAGTTTGCAGAATGCTGCTCTTCTCAAATACAAAGGAAGATCATATGGCAAAGACACCCTGCCTTGGGCACCCTCTCCTCTCTCAGTCATGAAGGAGTGAAAGGGATCATTCTAAGGAGCCAAGGTTATGAAGGGGGAGGTAAGAACTACATAGAAGAGGGTAATTATACAAAGTAGAATGTAGGTCAACTCTGGTCAGAAGGAGGGATATGTTACTACAGAGTGTGAGGAGGAGCCAGAAGTGGCCTTAAGAGTTGGGCCTTGAAAGAAAGATGAGACTTTAAACAGGAGGAGATAAGAGTTTTTGAAAGGGAAGAGAAAGAGGAATGTTGAGGGAGTCCCAGCGTGAGGAATGGCGTCTGCTGAGGGCAGCTGCATGACAAGGGAGAGCCAGAGTGCGTTCCATTACTGCATTTTGGCTAAAACTAAGGAGAGAAACTGTGAGAGTGATGCCTGCTTTGAAGCTGTTCAGGATAGGCGATTAGTACCTTGCCAAGGAGTTAGTAGAATCCAAGATGGTTGAGTGAGTGGAGTGATTTTGGCTGGAACGGAGAGCCTGGAGGCCAGGCGTCTGTTCTTTCCGGGTCCAGGAGGACGTGATGAGCACCGAAGTTGGTGGCAGTAGGAATGAGAAGACAACGTAAAAAACAAGGCCAGATGTCTTACTTGTTCCACCAGAATGTGGAGACTAATCACACACAGGAGAACTCGTTCCACCTCTTTTTTTGCCCTGCCCTCACTTAGCATCTGCAGAGGTAAATAATGAAATAATATAACAATTGAACCCTTCAATTCCCTTAATATAAATGTCAATCCTAGTAGAGTGGGAGAAGTGTTTGCAGCCCTGAAATGATGATTGTGTTCTTCTGAGGCCTCTTCAAAAGGTAATGAGATTTCAAAACATAAAAGGACACAAACTTGGATTGTGAAATTTGTCTTATCTAAATTTTGGAGCTGCTAGAACTTCCTTTTGCATTGATGATTAAAACCAAAAACCCAAAATCACAGCTCTAACCTTTGTGCTATTAATAAATTCTTGGATATTGTATGTTTATGTAGCGTGTAGGAGGATTTTCTTTACTCTAAATGAATAAGAAGTTTATGGACTCATCAGACTTGAGTCCTGAAGAATGTTTTGAAGAAAGTGAAAGCCTGTTAAGGTGACCCCTCTGTGCCAGAATTATACTGCGTCTAGCTGCTGCATCTGGAGGTGCTGAGGAAGCGATTGCTTATGCAGCTAGATTTCTGTGTTGCCTTTTATCACTGCAGCCTGTGATGTGTACTGTGGAACAAATAATTGAAAAAGCTGTGTGGTTTGGGTCTTGTTAGAACTAGCGACAGTATCCGAAATCTTCTCTCCTAGCACTACGTTATCAGTAATCAGAGAACTGTTTTTACTGAGTTCCACACCAAACCTGATAACCATCACAATTACATTTTAGATGCACTTGAATTGCCTTTGTTTCAGCAAATACTGTTGTGTACTCCCTGGGAGATGATGATGAAACAAAACAGGTGGCTGGGGATAATTAGAATTCGCATTTAACTTTCTCTTTCTGCTTCCTTCATGAACATGAATAGGAAAGGAGTGGCCAATCACTGAGGATCAATTTCACTCTCACCTCCAGGTGCTGCCTTTAGGACACAGTGTAGCTCTAGTAGGCTGCTTCAGAATGTTTCTCCCGGCTATTAGGGGGCTATTAGGGGGCTATTAGTGGAGCAGTTTCAAGTTTGGATGGGAGTGTCTCAGCCTGAGTCATTTGCCCTATCTTTTTTTTTTTTGAGTTGGAGTCTCACTCTGTTGCCCAGACTGGAGTGAAGTGGCTGCTTCCGGCCACCGCATCCTCGACCTGCTGGGCTCCAGCAATCCTTCCGCCTCAGCCTTCCAAGTAGCCGGAATTACAGGCATGCGCTACCACGCCCGGCTGGTTTTTTGATTTATTGTAGAGATGAGGTCTCGCTGCCCAGGCGGGTCTCGAACCTGCGGGCTCAAGCAATCCACTCACCTCAGCCTCCCAAAGGCGCAGGATTACAGGCTGAGCCACTGAGCCCGGCTTGCCCTATCTTTTGTATTGGTTTTATTTCTTTAATTAATAGTTTGAGTTGTTAAATGAATCGGCAAGTGAAGCAACACCCTGTTATCTTCTTGTCATCCGTCTACCTCACTACTGTGCTGTCTGTGAAATACAGCAGGCCGGTGCATGTTGTTAAATGGCCCTATAGAGTGGAAAGCAATCTCTCAGCCTGCAAATGAGACTCAGTTGTGTCTTCTTGACACCCTTGCAGAAATCCTGTATTTGAAATCTTTTAACTTGAGAACTATCCAGAGTGTGGTCAGCCCACACTAGAGGCACACTTCTTTATGTCTATGACATTAATGCCCTTGTTGTATGCCTGACCATTCCAGAGTTAGCAGTGTTGCCATAGTACCGGGTTTCATTAGTTTTCTGGTCATTTTCTACTGATAGCTAGATGCACAAGAATATGTTTTTCCTTTTGTTAATTTATCCAGATTTGATTATCCATAGTTTACAGGGATTTTAATTTTGGAAAATAATTAGTGGGGGACTGGCTAAGTAGACACACGTGTCTGGCTGTTGTATTTAAATATGTGAGCAGCAGATATGACACATCCAGGATTGCTGGGTATTTGGATTTGGAGAAAGAGTTATTACTCTTTTCTGCACCCTCTTTGGCATTTTTAGGTGTGCCCATCTTACAAGATGTCATAAAAACTATATATGGAGAAGATAAGAACTGGAAAGTTGCCAAATACTGGTGGTTTGGGATATTCTAAAGTTCTTTATGGATTTGGAAAGGCAAACATGAAAATAAGGGAGTTATGTATATCTTGCTGTTTTGATTTTTTTGTTTTTTTCTCATTGTTTTGGTTATTAGGCCTGTGTGGCTAGCCATCTGGCTCCTGACTGACTCTGCATCCCAATGAAAACAGGAATATTTGTTTTACCATTTTCAGTGTACCTGATTCTTATTAGGTCCTTCCCCAGACAAGTTAATTTCAAATTATTGGACCATCTAAAGCTTAAGATTAGCAAGCCTAAAGGGGTAAAAATATATTAGAGGCTTGCAAAAATTTCAGGGGTGGAAGGAAAGAATTACTGATCACGGTTTGCTTTATACTTGGGCTTGCAGGAATTGTGGAAGGCGCTTCAGTGAAGAAATGGACCAGTGTGTATAGCCATGGACTCTCCTTACTAACCATCACCACCTGTTCTCCTTGATAAGTGAGCCAGAGAGCGGCCAGGTAGAAGGAAACCAGGTCACCATGAAGCTAAAGCAGCGAGTTGTGCTGTTAGCAATTCTCCTTGTCATCTTTATCTTCACCAAAGTTTTCCTGATTGACAACTTGGATACATCAGCCGCCAACCGGGAGGACCAGAGGGCTTTTCACCGAATGATGACTAGCTTGCGAGTGGAGCTGGTGCCCAGGCTGGACCACACCTTGCAGTCTCCCTGGGAGATTGCTGCCCAGTGGGTGGTTCCTCGGGAGGTGTACCCTGAAGAGACACCAGAACTGGGGGCAATCATGCATGCCATGGCCACCAAGAAAATCATTAAAGCTGATGTGGGTTATAAAGGGACACAGCTGAAAGCCTTACTAATACTTGAAGGAGGACAGAAAGTTGTCTTCAAACCTAAGCGGTGAGTCTTCATCTTGGAAGCTGTATGTGCTAGTTGGTTGAGTCATTTAACTTGGGACTTACATGAGTGTTTATCTCCTTCTCTTGTTAGAAGGGTAGACTAGATTTCTAAGGTCTTCTAGCGCTTAAGAGTCTGTGATTCTTTGAGTTGGGGAAGTTTATAGGAATATGTTTTAGTTCCATATAAGACTGGGTTTTTTGACAATTAGAGCTATTCTTAATTTCTAATTTATCAGATATCTACTGTGTGTCAGATATTAGAGACACAAAATGAACTGGTTAGGAAATAAGCAACTTGTCACCAAAAATGTACAATTAAAGATTGGATATCTTCATGCTATAGATGTTGCAGAGTGAGACTTACCCAGAGTTGGATTGGGTTTTGGATAGGTGACTAAAGTCCCTGGTAGTACTGAAGCTTTGGTTCTTTCTTCTGGGTTATTTTTTGTTTTCATTAATAGACTTTTTGGGGGAGTAGTTTTAGGTTTTTGGAAAAATTGAGGGGAAAGTACGGAGAGTCTCCACAGCCCTCCCCTCAGTTTTCTCTTATTAACATCTTCTTGTACAATTACGACTAATGAGCCAATACTGATAATTATTAACAGAAGTTCATAGTTTACATCAGGGTTCACTTTTTGTATTGTACATTCTGTGGATTTAGACAAATGTGTAATGTCACATATCCACCATTGTAAAATCATACAGAGTAGTTTCCTATCCTAAAAATCATCTGTGCCATACCTGTTCATCTTCCCTCCCTGCCCCTGAGCCCCTGGCAACCACTGGTCTTATTATCTCCATAGTTTTGTCTTTTCCCAAATTTGATATAGTTGGAATCACAGTATGTAATTATGTTTTAGTTTTAAAAGGCAGTTGGAGAACAATTGTATCCCAAAATGGAAGGGATCAACGTATCTGGAACTGCAAAGTATGATGTATGGATAATGTAGAAATTAGGAAAGTTAAAAATGTGGTAGACTTTGGAAAATAGAAAAGTTTGATTGGTTGATAATGTGGATAAAGTATGACTCTGTGGGCCTTGGGGTCTTCATTTCCATTGAATGCACAGCACTTGCCCAGCATAAACTAAGTACTATTGTATCTGTTCATGCTTTTCACCCTCATGGGCAGGTTGACCCTCGTGGGCAGTTTCAGTTCTTATTTCCAGAATAAGAAACTGGCTTGACTGACTTTTTGCCTTCCTTTAAGGGGGATGATGTGGAGCACCCATCATCAAACATCACTCATTTAGTTTTGAAGTGTGTGGTCCTTCTTGGTTTGTAGCCTGAGAGATTAGCAGTAGAAGCAGAGTGATGGAAAGGCAAACTAAAATCAAAAACTAAATTAGTACAGAAAGTGATGAATTATGAGCATTTTGTGTTTAAACAAAAGGAGCTCCTCTCCACACCCTCCACTTGTGCACTGGAGAATTGAGGGGACGGTGGGATATCAGAAGATGAATATTACCAAGAATGTGCAGTGTTAGATTCAGACCAGGTGCTTTGTGGATAGGCCTTGAGTGTTGGGATAAGGTGTAAGAGGAGGGAGGGGAGGCCAGAGTGATGAGTGGGGTGGGAGCAGCAGGTCAATGTATAACCTCCATCACTGCTGGCTTCAGCTCATACATAGCTCCTCCTGCCGCAGCAGCCTCCCATTACCCTTTCTTCCAGACCATCTGGAAAGCCACTTCCATTTTTCCCCAAGACCTGTATTATCACCCAGCCCTAAGACATCCAGGGACATCCCACTGCTCACTAGACACAGCCCAGCATCATGGCCAAGCCCCTCAGAGTTCTCTTTCTATACCCAACCATACCCTACCTTTGCTCAGTGTTTCTGTCCAGCTGGCTCTCCACTCCCCCACCGTCTCTTGAACAGCCCAAGTCCACTCCCAGCTCCAGGGCACTCTCCTGGCCTCCCACATAAGTGTGGCTCTCCAAGTTCTCGCACACATGGTCCTGTGCTGCTTTACACCAGCCACTATCATAGGCTGGAGAAAGTGGATATAGGCTTAAGACCACGTAAACACCTAGCAAAGTGCTATTCTGACCCCCAGGACCTCAGAGGCTCTTTAGTCCTGGTATAACTGCAAATTATTGTCCTTGGTCAGACTCTGATGTCCTTCACCAGAAGGAGAGGAGTGATTTATTGGGAGTTACTGTATGAATTTTACGGCTCTGTCAGTGACTTATGATGGATCACTCTTTGCTGAGAGGAGGATCTAAGTCCTTCCTGCTAAGTCAAGACATGCACCTTTCTTTAATAGCCACTTGTGGTTCCAGCATTTTGGTAGCCTGGTTATCCGTGTCCTACTCTCAGAGATAGAAGATATGTACAGGTAAGTAGATGACATACACAGGAATACAGTGACACTTTTACACATTTGCCTTACATTATGAAGGTGATTTTTTTTTTTTTAGTGTAGCTGTATCAATTCTAGAAATAAATTGATTTTCACAGGCAAAAACTAGAGTTATGGTGGAAAGAGAACAAGAAGACAGGGGCGTAAGAGTGGGTAGAGGTGAGTAAGTGATCTTAGGAGGTGCTGAAAAGGACCTTGAAGATCCATGAGTTCCACTTGTCATTTTACAGGTGAGGAGAATGAGATCCAGATTTCTGACTTTCTGTATTTCACACAGCTAAAACATGAGCTAAGGACTCAGACCTTCTGACTCCACTGCAAGTCTCTGATTTTGGTTCTTACTCCTTTCCCTTTTCCTCCTCTCCCTCTCTCAAAGCTCCGGGATTCCTCTAGGGTTTTGCATGTTCTTCGGGGCAGCCTTTAGACATCTTGAAAAGCTCTCTGAAGTGTACTAATGAGAAGGTGCTGTACACCACCACATATCTTCCTGTGGCTCCCCTGAAGTATGAAAACTAAAGTATTCAAGGACTGTCCTTCAGCTTTGTGGATAGTCTACACCTATGGTAGAGAGAAGAGATGAGTGCTTGAATATTGTCAGTATCTACTGCAGTCATATTTAAAGTTGACTTTTACAATTAGAGGTAGTCAGTATAAACCTAGGTAGTCTAAATAATCTTTTGCAGTAGAAACAAGAAAATACACATTTGAGTATATTGACCCTGCCAAGAAGAATCTGGTGCCCAACCAGGTTGTGATGCGTGGCTGTCATCACCAAATGATGATGGCAAATGCTTTATCCTTTTGCCTTGAAGATGTGTTTTGTAGAGACGCTTTTGCTTTGTATTCTAAGGTCATTGAAGTTGAAGTTGAAGGTCACTGCCTTTTACAGTACTGTTTTCCATTTCCCCATAGCTGTTTCAGCATTGGGGATCCAAATGTTTTCAGTGGAATAGCTCTTCTTCACTTTAATCTCAATTTATTTCAATTTCATATTTCGTCTGTGAAGCTTAATAGGTATTTTGTTTCAGGAAATGGAGGTGACCAGTAGAGGTCATAGGTGAATTAAGTATTTTTTTCTTCCCAATTAACAGGCTTAAATTGTGTCTTTTAAAATGATTAGTAGAAAGAAATAGACCAGTTTTTATTATTCTTTGCTTATGTCATGCAAATGATATAAAATCAGTAAGATTCAGTTTGAGGTGAAAGATGCCTTAGAAATTACTGTGTAGCTTAGGCCACGAGTGGTGGAATTACATGCCTGTAATCCCAGAGCTTTGGAAGGCTGAAGTAGGAGGATCCCTTGAGCCCAGGAGTTTGAGGTTACTGTGAACTATGATTGGGCCATTGCACTCCAGCCTGGAAGACCAAGAGAAACCTCATCTAAAAAAAAGAAAGAAAGAAAAAAGAAAGTACGTTGTAGTTAAGTCTCTGATATTGTAAATAAGGCATCTGAGACCCAGAGAAGAGAAAGGTTTTGTTCAAGGTTACCCAGTCACATATGACAGCCACACCCTGCACACTCACCTCTTACTGCTAGTCCAGGATCCCTTCAACTACATCTTCATAAACTTAAAAAGAGAAAACAAGAATGGATTTTCAAATGAATTTTTTCAAAAGCATCTTTGCCTTCTCATTAACAAAAACTGAGGAGTATCAGATCATTTTCCCCCAAGATAATAAACTTCTCTTATAAACCTTGCCACAGTCATTCTGCAAGCAAGTTTTAAAATTATATTTTTCTTCATTTCTTCAATTCAGTCTAATAAACATTTTAGTAGACATTTATTAAGCACCATGTGCTAAGTAACTTAACACTGTGCTGTCAATGTAAAGATGGTCCTTACCTTCCAGAAAACCACCTTATAATTACACTTAAACTACATTGAAAGCCCCTTAGAGGGGTAAAGATAACATCTCCATGTTTGATTCTTAGAATGATCCCTGAGGCAGATACAGAATTCTAGTTTCCTTCTCCATCTCATCTTCACGCCATCTACCAGTAACTCCTGCTAATCCACAGTTGTTTTCAGGGCTGACAGAGAAGATGTCTGTAGCACAATGAGGCTTGTGAAAACTTATCTTCTGCCATTCTGATAGTTCATGTCTATACCTGTGCTCCCCCTTCCCTCTGCAGGTATAGCCGAGACTATGTGGTGGAAGGGGAGCCGTATGCTGGTTACGATAGACACAATGCAGAGGTGGCAGCCTTTCACTTGGACAGGTATGTGTAATCACGATATGTATGTTTGTTTCATTTCTGTTTACAGATTTCTTCTGAAGAGGACTTGTGGACTCCTTTGAAAGATGCAACACTAATAAGTGACTCTTTATCCATTTTAGATAGCTAATTGACTACTATTAAATTTGTATGAGCTCCTTATAATTTGGTTGGCACCAGGAATACCAAAGTAAATATTTTTAACTCCAGGTTTTTTTAGGTCATTTCATTCCTGGCATGTTCTCTATCATTATCATGAGTTAAGATATTCTTGGTAAATGAACTCAAATCCCTGAATTGAATTGATCATTAATTGGGTCTGGCAGCCCTGCTGTTTTGTTTTAAGTAAGTAATGTTGACTTATTCCCATATGTTGGAAAAATATAGCATGGAATATATGATGAATGTTATTGTTCTTTACACAAAATATGCACAGCTTTAAAAACCAGAATAATTCCAAAAGAAGAGCAGATGTGAATTCTAAGTTATAAGTTAACTGGGGAAATTAACGTTTTTTCCAGCAGATTGCTAGTCAGGAACCTTGGAGCTAAACTGTCAGGTATCCCAACTACTCTTCTGACCAGTTCTTTCATCAGGGCATATTGGCAAACTTCAAAAGAAATTATTCCCAATATTTGTTTTAAAAATCAATCTATAAGGAAACCAGAAAAAAATAAAGGTGAATTTTCATCTTTTTCTGAATTAGGATTTTGTAAGCATAATTTAGAAATCACAAATTAAATAGACTTGGCTTAAATTAAAAAAAAAAATAACTTGCATGTCAAGAAACAGCAAACAACACACTAGGAGAAAACACTTGACTCTGGTGTAATCTAAGTATTAATAGCCTTAATATAAGTGTTTATACAAACCTATTAGAGAATGGGTTTAAGAACATAAGCAGTTAACCAAATAAGAATTATCAATTGCTAATAGAAAAGGGTGGGGGAAAGTTCATTCTCAACAGAAATTTTAAAACAATGGGTTACTGTTTTTACCTGTTGAAAACGACAAAGATTAAGAGAAAGATGATGCTTTATTGACAGGAATGCATTGCCATTCATATGCTGCCCGTGGCGTTGTGAATTGTTTTGATCTTTCTGTTAAGAACCTTGGCACTATGTATCAAAAACCTTAATGTTCATACCCTGTGAATGAATACCTTCTTTTTTATGCACATACCTAAGATATTTCTAGAAAGTACCCTAGAGGAATAAGCAAAAATTCAATCATGTATATACAACTGTCTTAGCATAGCATTTTCAATAGTGAAAAACTGGTTGCAACCTAAACATCTACTAATATGGAAAAGGTTAAATAAGTGTTTACAATACCATGAATTTTCACTGCCTCATTTTTGACCTTGTGGCAAAGTTGGCCAAGTCCTACTCCTCACTAAATGGCGGCTGGAATCCGGCTTTCCAACACCTCGTCTGTTTGCCTCTTTTCTTCACCACGAACCCCCTTCCTGTTTTCCACTTGCTGAACACAAGCAGGGCATGAAGATCCTCATTTCTGTGTCAATATTTTGTATTACCCAACACACTAATTTTTGTCACTATGTATGTAAAGTGATATCTCATTACTTTATTTTGTGTTTCCCCAGTTACTGGCAAAGTTTATCTTTTCACAGCAGGACACCTATGTGTTAGCTTTTAAAGTATTCTTTGTACAAAAATTGTTGCTTTTGATGTAAATTAAATATAATGTTTCTGTTTGTGACTTGTGCTTTGGGGATCTTGTATTTAGAAGTCCTTTCTTCTACTGCAAAGCTTGAGAGATATTCTTATGCAAATTCCCTCTTCCTTTTGCTAAGTGCCACTCTAGCTGGCCTCAAGTGCTACTGTGATATTGTCCCTCTGCACTAAACTGGCTGCTGTTCTTTGGCCTGGCAGTGGTCAGTGGAGAGAAAAAATACTTTCCAGTTTAGCCAGGCACTGTGGCTGTCACCTGTAGTCTAGCTAGTTGGGTGGCTGAGGCAGGAGGATCACTTGAACTTAGGAGTTTGAGGCCACAGTGAGCCATGATGGTGCTACTGCACTTCGGCCAGAGTGACAGAGATATGTCTAAAACAAAACAAAACTTCCCAACCTTTTCCATTCATGGCTTCTGAATTTTCTGCTTTGGGTTGCTGTTTCTCCATTGCATTCAGATTTAACCACCTTTCCTTGCCTGAGGGTCCTCTCTATTTTTATGTTATTTTGACAAATCTTGTTGATCTTGCTTTTGTGACTTTTCTAACATTGGGTTTAGGACACAACAGCAGCCCTAAACTTAGATAGCTGTTTTTGAAGGCTTTCTAATGTTGTAAGAAAAGTTCCATGATTCAATGATGGGTAAAAACCAATATATGAAACTGCATACAGTATAATCTCCATTGTGTGTATATGTGTAAGTGTGGGTGTTTGTTTATATATAGACGTAAAGGGGAAAAGTGCTCATATGCCTAAATGTCAGCACTTTGAGTTATTCCAGGTTGTGGGATTCTGAGTGGTGTCTGTTTTCTTCATTTATACATTTTCTGTGTGTTCCTCATTCTGCCCCTCCAACTTTTCTTCAGTGAGTGTGTATTTTTTAATCAGGAAGTCTCATTTTTAAAAAAATGATTTTATTTTATTTTTTTGAGTTGGAGTCTCATTCTGTTGCCCAGACTGGAGTGCAGTGGCCTCTCCTGGCCACCACAGCCTCTACCCGCTGGGCTCCAGTGATCCTTCCGCCTCAGCCTTCCAAGTAGCTGGAACTACAGGCGCATGCTACCATGCCTGGCTAATTTTTTGTTGTATTGTAGAGATGAGGTCTCTCCAAGTTGCCCAGGCAGGTCTCGAACCCACGGGCTCAGGCAATCCACTCACCTCAGCCTCCCAAGGCACGGGATTACAGGCTGACCCACTGAGCCCAGCTAAAAAAATGATTTTTTTAAACACTGAGGTAGTGCTTTTAGATCATTAGACAATGGTATCTTCAAGTGTGTTAATATTTAAGTTGCTATGTGGGTTTATTCTTTTTGGTCAATCTGCATAGTCTTTTGTTAATATGCTATCTCATTTAAAGCTTTGCATTCAATATGAGTTCTTTCTAATGCTTTGTTAAAATTTAATTTTAATTTTAATTTTTTTTTTTTTTTGAGATGGTATCTTGTTCTGTCACCCAGGCTGGATGGCAGTAGTGTGTTCATGGCTCACTGCACCTTTGAACTCCTGGGCTCAAGAGATCTTCTTGTCTCAGCCTCCTGAGTATCTAGGACTAGAGACATCTATCACCACACCTGTCACTATGTTGCCCAGGCTGGTCTTAAACTCTTGACCTCAAGTGGTCCTTCTGCTTTAGCCCCCAATGTGCTAAGATTATAGACATGAACCACTGTGCCTGGCCTGTTTTTAATTTTGTTGTGAAAAATTTCTGACAAACAAAAGTATAATGAGCCCATATACCCACTCCCTAGACTTAACAACTGTTCACATTTTGCCTGATTTGCCTTGTCCTTTTTGCTGAAGTGTATATGAAAATAAATTACATACATCTTGACGTCAGATGCCTAAATATATGTACCTCTAAGAAATGAGATTTACCTACCTAGCTATAAAATTCTTATACATTTAACATGATTAACCATAATTTTTGAGACTGTTATTTAAAATATATTCCTAAAGATTTTTCTCTTCTGTTCTTCAACCTCCAAACCAGGATTCTGGGTTTCCGCCGAGCCCCCTTGGTGGTTGGCAGATTTGTTAATCTTCGGACAGAGATCAAGCCTGTTGCCACGGAGCAGCTGTTGAGCACATTCCTAACTGTAGGTAAGAAGATTATAGAGGACATTCAATTAAATGGGGCATTGTTGAACAAGCTGGTTGATTTTTTTTTTTTTAATTTCTATTTTAAAGATGTGGAGTATAGTTCAGGTTTAGGTATACAAATGGTCTTTGTATAGGTAAAGTTTGGGCCTCTTTTGTTCCCCATTTCACCTGATGCTGGTTGATTTCTTTTAGGAACTGACGAACCCATGGGAATACAAAAGCAAATCTGACAACCAGTTATCAAGTTACTCAGGAAAATGAATCTAGAGGTAGATAATAGGATATGGGAAGTTCTCCCCAGTGCACACTCTATGGTAAAGTAGGAAGTGAGGTCATTTACTGAGAATGAAAGTTGTTGGTAACTTTATTTCCTTCTGCTTTGTCTTACAGCCAAATCTCAGACTCAGAATTTGACCTAAATTGGTCATTGTTTATATATCATTGTCTCCGTTGTTTTATACACACGTAGGGAAGGGTCTCCTGTCTCCTTAGAATTGAGGAAATCTTAAGGCAACTCTGTAAGGAGGTCAGAAATTTTCTCTTGTAGGGTTGCTTTTAGGCCTGGAAGTTCTGCAGGAATTAGCCTGTAACTCACTGCGCATGGAACTGCTGTGATACCTCTGACCTCTGTTTTCCACGATCTTATTCTGAGGTTAGGGTTCTGAGCTAAAATTCTCACTCCTGTTCTCCTTGTGGGCATGGTGAGAATGGGAAGAATTCAGAGGTGCTTTGGTCTCTTGTTTCAGCCTCTTCGTGGTGACTCTTTTTCAGTGATATGGTGCTCTGTATTATAGTATGACTGTTGAAATAGACATTGCAAGATGAACTTCACCTTGCTTTTTGCTAGAATGAATGAATTTACATTTAAAATGAAGTAAAACTGAATGTTTAAAGAACTGTGACAGATTTATCGTTCAGAATTTAAACTTATGAGGCTTGGCCTATGCTTTTCTTAAAGCTAACCAAAAGCATACAGTGTCATTGGTTTGTTTCAGAATTTTCTAATCACCTTTGATTGTTCAGTTTTATGCTCAGCAAACATAAATTCCTGATGGGTGCTGGGATAGAGAATGAGGTCAAGAAGAATAAGCCAAGGTCCTTGCTCTTTAGAGACTCAAGAAGGTTAACTCTCACAGATTATATGAAGTGTGGAGAAGGGAGAGGCCAGAAAAAGGTTCATAGAGGAGGTTATTTACACTTGGACTGAATATTGAAGGGTCTATAGGAGGTATAGCAACCTGAAGGTAATGCAGGCTTGGTTTATTCGGGATCCTGTGAGCTTCCAGATACCCTCCAGCACAAGACAGGTCTAGGGATTTGGCTGGAGGTGAGATTTTTTTTATAATGGACTGACCTTACTTAGCCCAATCTTGGTTTGTTGTGGTTGTTGCCTTTGTGCTTTTAAGACTTTATATTTTTAGAGTAGTTTTAGGTTCACAGCAAAATTGGGAGGAAAGTACAGAGATTTCCCACTTGCTCTCTGCCCCAGCATATGCACAGCCTCCTCCATTATCAACATCCTCATCAGAGGCCTTCCTTTAAACTGGTGAGCCTACATTGACACGTCATAATCACCCAGAGTCCATAGCTTACACTAGCGTGCACTCTTGATGTTATGCATTCTGGCATGTATACATCACAATAGTATCACACGGTATTTTTCACTGGTCTAAAAAGTCTCTGTGTTCCACCTGTTTATCCCTCTCTACCCCTCTCCAATCTCCTGGCAACCACTGATCTTTTTACTCTCTCTGTAATTTTGTCTTTTCCAGAGTATCATATAGTTGAAAACACAGTTTATAGGTTTGTCACATTGGCTTCTTTCACTTATTAACATGCATTTAAGGTTCTTCCATGTCTTTTCATGGCTTGATAGCTCATCTCTTGTTATTGCTGAATAATATTTCATTGTCTGATGTACTACAGCACCTACTGGAGGGCATCCATTCATCTACTGAAGGGCATCTTGGTTGCTTCCAACTTTTGGCAACTGTGAGTAAAGATGCAATAAACATCTGTGCAAGTTTTTGTGTAGACATAAGTTTCCAGCTCTTTTGGGTAAATACCAAGGAGTGTGATTTCTGCGTCATATGGTAAGAGTATGTTTGGTTTTGCAAGACTCTCTCAATCTATCTTCCAAAGTGTACTATTTTGCATTCCCACTAGCAATGAATGAGAGTTCCTTTTGCTTCACATTCTTGCCAGCATTTGGTGTTGTCATAGTAAGGATTTTGGTCATTCTGGTGGGTATTTAATAGTATCTTGTTTTAATTTGTATTTCCTTGATCACATATAATCTAGAGTATCTTTTCATATGCTTATTTTCCATCAGTATATCTTTGGTGAGGTGTCTGTTGAGGTCTTTGGCCCATTTTAAAATTAGGTTGGTTGTTTTCTTATTGTCAAAGAACTTTTAACTTTTTTGGATAACAGTCCTTTATCAGAATGTGTCCTTTGTAGGTATTTTTTCCCAGTGTGTGACTTTTCTTTTCCTTCTCTTGACACAATTGTTTTATGTATTACTAGATACATTGTTATAATAATGACTAAATTCTTATAGCCCTTGCACCCTGACAAAGCACTTTCACACTGTCACATTATCTGATTCTCCTGACAGGAGAGTGTACTAAGTAGGGGGGATATTACCCGCCTGAGAAAGACTCCAGAATCTTTCATCTGCTTATAGTTTTTATATTCATATTTTCAACAAAACTTTATTTCACTTCTGTGTAACAGGTTTTGAGTGAGATGCTGAATATACAAAACTGACCTTCCTGTTTTCAAGGAATTTTGTCTGATGTGGAAGCGAGGCATGTACAAAGGGCCTATGGAGTATAGAAGGGAGAGGAGGTGACCTAGAAGTTAGGGTCAGGGTAATAGTTAATTGGTAAAGGTGACCTTTTAATCAAGTATTAAAGGGGGAATAGCAGTCCCGCATGTAGATATAGTGGGAAACGACATTTGAGGTTTGGATTCTTTACATTTTTTGTGCCATAGACCCTTTGGCAGTCTGGAGAAGCTTATGGATCCTTTTTCAAAAATAATATTTTTAAATACTTAAATTAAAATACATAGACTTATAAATGAAACCAATAATAATAAAGTATATTTTAATATCAAAAATTACAAAAAGGAGATTTATGCTTTGTTATTTAACACATTAAATTAGATCTGGCAAAAATCTAGTCACTACCATAATTTCACACTATGAATAGTATTTTGAGATAACTACAACAGTGCTTATACAGCATGAAGAAGCTGTGATTTCTTGTAGTCACGGACAATGCTGATATGCTGGTTTGCTCCCTACCATCAAAATGGACGAAATGCTCATTTTCAGGTAGAGGTTATTAAGAATAAAGATGTGATTTTGTTCCCATCCAGCTCTTGGACCCTGTGAGTTAACCCTGTTCCAGGTGGAGGACAGAGTGTGAACCTCTCAGTGTGAGCACTGAGAGGACGGCATGCCAAACTCGGGAGACTGTGCAGTTTAGCTGGAGGAGAGGGTATGTGTAGGGTTGGCCGGTGAGGAAGGCCGCTGGTCAGGACAGTGTCACTGACGGGCCTGTGCACACGCTTAGAAGTCAAGGCTTTCTCTTCAGGCTCTTGAATTTAGAAAACTCATTGTGGTTACATGGAGGAGGATGCTTTGGGAAGGTAAGATTCAGGAGCTGAGAACACTCAGGGCTGTGTGGAAATTCTTATGTGATAAAAAAACAGAACTAAAGGAGGGCAGGGAATAGAAAGATGTAAGAGCTATTCAAGAATTGGAATGGAAAGAATGTGCTGAACGTTGGGGCTGGGAGGGTTAATGGAGAGAGGAGGAAATTCAGAAAGACTCCCAGGTTTCTGGTTTGGGTAACTAAGTGAATGTGGAGCTGTTCACTGTTTTAGGAAGTATAGAAAGCAGCAGATTTAGGGAGGTGGAGCAGAGGAAGATAATGAATTTAATTTTGGATATTTTGTTTCCTTGACAGGAACATCCAGGAGTAAATGTCAGCTAGTCATTTAGAAACTAAAGTCTAGAGCTTAGGAGAGAAGTCTAGGCTGGAGGCGTAGATCTTATTTTCACAGTTAGGAGTTCACCCAAGGAGAGAATGGAGACTGAGGTGGTCAGAAAACTAGTTTCTAAAAGTTTGGCATATCCAGGAACGAGTAAGAGGTTTAGAGACTCAGGCTCACAGCATGAAAACAGTGATATTAAGCTCAGCAAGGCAGAATGAACCATGGCATTAATAATAAATAGCCCTGACTGGGCTCAGTGGCTCAGCCTGTAATCCCAGCACTTTGGGTGACCGAGGTGAGTAGATTGCCTGAGCCCGCGGGTTCAAGACCCACCTGGGCAACTTGGCGAAACCTCATCTCTACAATAAATCAAAAATTAGTCAGGCGTGGTAGTGCGCACCTGTAGTTCCAGCTACTTGGAAGGCTGAGGCGGAAGGATTGCTGGAGCCCAGCAGGTCGAGGCTGCAGTGGCCGGGAGTGGCCACTGCACTCCAGTCTGGGTGACAGAGTGAGACTCCAACTCAAAAAAAAAATAAAATAAAATAATAATAATAATAAATAGCCTACAGGGAGTGGGTTCTGATGTTGTGTTAGGTGTTGTACTGAGCATTGTCATGGGTTGTGTCATTCATTCTTCACAGCCCAGTGGTGAAGGTGCTGTTATTATCACCATTTTTTTTTTTTAGTTTTTTGAGTTAGAGTCTCACTCTGTTGCTCATGCTGGAGTGTAGTGGCACTCCTGTGGCCACCGCAGCCTCAACATGCTGGACTCAGGTGATCTTTTTGCCTCAGTCTTCCAAGTAACTGGAACCATAGGCATATGCCACCATGCACAGCTAATTTTTTGATTTATTGTAGAGATGAGGTCTTGCCAAGTTCCCCGGGGTGGTTTCGAACCTCCGGGTTCAGGCAATCATCTTGCCTCCACCTCCCACAGTGCTGGGATTAGAGGCATGAGTCACTGGGCCCGGCTCTTGTCTGCATTTTACAGGGGGTGCTTAAAGATGAAATTATATGCCCAGAGTCTTGCAGTCTCATGATTAAGGTACCCTGTACCCTGTATGTTAACCCCAGAAAGCTGACCCCAGGTCCCAGTTTCTTTTTTTTTTTTTTTTTAGTTGGAGTCTCACTCTGTCACCCAGACTGGAGTGCAGTGGCCGCTCCCAGCCACCGCAGCCTCGACCTGCTGGGCTCTGGCGATCCTTCCACCTCAGCCTTCCAAGTAGCCGGAATTACAGGCATGCGCTACCACGCCTGGCTGATTTTTTGATTTATTGTAGAGATGAGGTCTCGCTGCCCAGGCGGGTCTCGAACCCACAGGCTCAGACAATCCACTTACCTCAGCCTCCCAAAGGTGCGGGATTACAGGCTGAGCCTTAACCAAGGCACCATACTCCCTTCCAGTTATAAAGATTCTTATTTACACACCTCAAGAATTTGGATATTGTCCCTTAGGCAACAGGTTTCCTATACCAAGCAGTGTTTTGAGTTTTTTTTTTTTTTTAATAGAGGTGAGATCTTGCTTTGTTGCCCAGGCTGGTCTTGAACTCCTGGACTCAAGCAATCCTCCTGCCTTGGTCTCCCAAAGTGCTGGGATTACAGGCATGAGCCACCGTGTCTGACTTTTAAAAAAAAATTTTCAAATCAATAATATATTAATACAGTTCAACTTTCAGTGAAATTCAATAAAAAGCTTTCCTCTCATCCATCTGGTTTCTTCTTTTTCTCCCAGTGTCAACCTTTATTAGTAACTTCTTTTTTGTATGAAATATATTTTTATTTAACTACCATTTGATACAGCATATAGCACACTGTACTTTTTCATCTTTTATATTCTGAGAAATATTTCCATAGCACATGTAAAGAGCAAGTCCCCATATTGGACTTAGATGTTGCTCCAATATTTTGTTTTAACAGCAAGCGTTGCCCAGAATTACCTTGTACATACTGTTATTCTACTTATGAGCACGTCTTAGACATGGAACTGCTAAGTCAAAGGGCACATGTACCTTAAATGTTGATAGATGTGGCCACATTATTCTACATAGAAGTTTAACCAGTTGACATTCCCAGTAGTGATATCATCAACAACATGTTTTCAGACTTTAAAAAAAAATTTTATATGTAGCATGTTTTTAAGAGCCATTTGCACCTTCCGTTAACTGTCTTTTCATGTTCTTTGCTTGTTTTGTGCTGTCATTGGTCTTACCAGTTTATAGGGGGGATAGTCCTTTGTGATATGAGATGTAAATATTCTTTCCCAATTGTTAAGTTTATTTTGAATTTGCTTATGATTTTTTTTTGCCTTGTAGAAATTTTTGTTTTCAAATGTAGTCAATCAGCCTTTATGATCAATTTTCTGATTTTGAATCATAGTAAGCCTTGCTCAGTCCAAGGTTATGGAATAATTCTGCCTTATTTCCTTTAGTACTTTTATAGTTTTCCCCCACATTAAAATTTTGATGTAGTTGAAATTTATCCTGGCATGTGGAATGAAGTATGGCTCCAATTATTTATTTTTCCTCGATTACTATCATTTGTTCCAATAGCATTTATTAAAGAGTCCACCTTTTTTCTGCAGTAATAAATTTTCATTTGTGTGTGCTTTAGTTTCTAGACTTCGTATTCTGTTCCATTGGACATTGTGTCTATTCATGAGTTAGTCTATACTGCTTTAATTGTTGAGGCCTTAAATGTTTTAATGTCTGGTCAAAATAGTTGAGTTTTCTAGAGGTTCTTGTTTATTTTTTGTTATGACCTTTAAAATTGCCATGTGTAGTTACATTAAAAGATTTGCTAGTGTTTCTGTTGAGATAAAGTTAAATGTATAATTTTTTATATTTTTATAATTATAAACATTATAAATGTGGCATGTCTTTCCATTTGTTCAATCTTCTTTATCTAGAAAAGTATTCAAAGTAAAGGAGAATGATGTAAACAACTTGTGGTGAGTATAGTTGGTTAGTTTCTATTTACTGTGTACTGTGCCAGAGGTGAAGTTAGAAACATTAAGTGTAAATATTGCTTTTCTCCTTAAGGAGACACACACATAAGAACATAAACAGTCACTGAAGGAGATGAGGATTTTTTTTTGTTGACAGTATAGGAAATTAGCTTATTTGATGGCTGTATTTCATGGGGTTGGGAGCATACAGAGAAAACATTGCCTTTTAATGTTTTTATATTTTAAACTTCCTATTTTGAAGTTATTTTAGATTTATATAAAAGTTATAGAAGTAGTTCAGAGTTCCCCAGATCCTTCACCTTCAGTTGTTAATACTTCTAAACCATTTGAGAATAGATTGCAGATATGAATGCTCCATTACTCCTCTTAATTCTTCCTTAAAACTTTGGTGAGTATTTCCCAACCACCAGGACACCCTGCTACAAACCACATTCAGCCATCAAAATCAAGAGATTAACACTGACCTGATATCACCATCTAATCCATAGACACTATTCAGATTTTGCCACTTGTCCTTGTATGTCTTGTATAAATCTAGGAGGCAATCTAAGGTTAGATCACATGTTATATTCAGTTGTTTTTCCTTTTTAGCCTCTCTCAGTCTTTAATAATTCCTCACTCTCCTGTTTTTTATGACCTTAACATTGTTGAACAGTGCAGGCAGTTACTTTATAGAATGCCTCTCAATTTAGGTTTGTCTGATGCTCCCTCATGATTTAAAATTTTGGGCAGAAATACCAGAAAAGTGATATTGTACTGTTCTCTGTATGTTATAGTAAGAGGTACATGATGTATATGTATTGATATATCCCATTGATGGTGATATTAAGTGTTAGCATCACTTAAGATATTATCACTTAAGAAAGCGGGTGGCTCCAAGTTTCATCAGTGTAAAAGTAGTAAGTATTCTGTGTTTACTAATAAGTTGTTACTGAGTACTCTGTAGGGAGCTACTGTAGAACTGTAAATATTCCGTTCCTTATCAGACTGTTACTGACCAGTTTTAGCATTTATTTATAATTTTTGTTAGAATCAGTTATTATGACAGTTGCCAATGTTGATTTTTTTTTCATGTTCTCAGCAGTATCACCAAATAATGATTTTTAAAATTCTATCATTGCTTCTAGACTTATTAGTTGTCATTCTATTGAGAGGTAGAACTGCCCCCATCACAGTTTATTTATACTGCTATGAATTCACAGGCTTAACTTACTCAGAGTTACAATGTGTTGCTAATGATATTTATTTTGATGTTCAAACGGTCCCAGATTTGGCCAGTGAGAACCCTACAAACTGGCTCCCAGGTCACTTTGGAAGGACTCCGTCATTCTCCCGGCACTTCCTTACAACTGGCATAGTAACACTATGATCCAGGCTCATCTTGTTCTTTCCCTACTCCAGCCATGGAGTCAGCTGTTTCTTCAAGGAGCCCTGGTTCCTTTTAATGTAGTGTTAGATGGTATTTAGAAACTCATATGTAAGTGCTAGGTATCCTCATTACTACCTAGGTGTCATCGTTTTCAGGTTTTCTTTAAGGCAGCGTTAAGGAATGTATGTGTGTGTATAGATATATAATATATATAGATAGGCACATACACACACACATCTCTGTCTTTTTCTATATCTGTGTTTGTGTATTAAAACCATCAATTCATACCAATATTTCCAATTCTAATTCAGCACCACAGGATTTATTCTGGCCTTTTCCCTTTCTGTGGTTCAGCTCCCTTCTCCACCTTTGAGAAGCCTGGTTCTTTTATGCTCAGTTCTTTTTTGTTCAGCCTCCCTCTTTCCCCTGCCCCCATGTGTAACCACACTTCTAGCGACACTTGGTCCAATGTGTGTGCCCTCTCACCCTTCCCTGAGCACTCTGGCCAAAATCTCAGCCCTGATGAAGGAGAAGAGGACTCTTTCCTTTCATGAGAGTGAGTCGAGGATGAGAGTGAGTCTCTCTCCTGGGAGAGAGCCTGGGTAGAAGGGACACAGAAGGGGAGGGTAACTTACTTTTTTGTATATACACTTTGGTACCTTTTGAATTATTTTACACCATATACTACTTTATTACCTATACAGGAAAATAAATGTTTGAAATATAGTAAGTTCAGGATTTTTGTTTTCACTGCCTGTTTACTCAGCTACTTTCTTCAACATCGTTTGGGGGAGAATTTGGAGTCTTCGTTTTTTCCTTATGTGTATTTGGCTCCTTTCTGTCCTTTAGGAAAACAATACTTGTTTCTATGGGAAATGTTATTACTGCCGAGAAACAGAGCCAGCATGTGCTGATGGAGACACAATGGAGGGTTCTGTCACACTTTGGCTTCCAGATGTGTGGCCTCTGCAGAAACACCGACACCCGTGGGGCAGGACTTATCGGGAAGGCAAACTGGCCAGGTAAATGCTCCTGAGAACCATGGTTTCATCCTCCCCTGTGCCTGGCCAGGTGCCAACCCTGCAGAGAAGCCAGCAGTTCTGTCCAATAGTGAAAAGAACTTGTAGGGTCGGGGCAAGCCCATTAGGTTGGGGCTCTGTCTTCTCTTTGCTTGTAACAGTGACAGGTACAGTGTTGGCACTCAGTAACCCTGGGAATGCGACTTGCCTCCAGGTGGGAGTATGATGAGAGCTACTGTGATGCAGTAAAGAAGACGTCCCCTTATGACTCTGGCCCACGCCTCTTGGACATCATTGATACAGCTGTCTTTGACTACCTGATTGGCAATGCTGACCGCCATCACTATGAGAGCTTTCAAGACGATGAGGGTGCTAGTATGCTTATCCTTCTCGATAATGCCAAAAGGTAAGACCAGCAGCACTGTTCTTGTCCGTTAGGGGTTTTCTGTTTAAAGAAAACACACTTTATAGGGTATCCTGGAAACATCCAGAACCCACTTGATAGATGGCATCCTTTTTTCCCCTTGGGTTCTATTCTGTTGGCACTCATCCTTCCTTCCACAGGGATCTCAGGACTTAAAAAAAAATTAAAAAGTGATTCTTTCAAAGGAGTCGAAAATGCTGAGTGTTTTCAGAGACAACTGTAAACCAAATTCTTTAATTTGTTATTAGCTGCATCATTCTTTCATGACTGTGATGCTTAGAATCTTGAGAAATTCAGATTTAATAGAATGTGGAATTTTTTTACTATTAAATTCTATCCAAAGTTCCTTGCAATTTAGAAAACCTATTAAATAAGATGTTTTGCTATTTTTATGTCAGTCTAGGCCCATATTTTTGTTAACACGGAAAAAGTAGTTGCTTAGTGATTTTATATATATAAAGACAAGTTACTTTTATCTTGAGTAAGACAAGTTTGTTCATTTTAAATAAAGAGAATGTCTGTATTTTTTTTAGGCCTGAGCTATTTGGAGAGCACAATGTCCTTCCACTCTGCACCCTGCGTTCTCCATGTGACCATTCAGTGCTGTACTTCTAGTTACATTTAATAAATGTTTGCAGAATAGAATGCTTTCTTGGAGCCCAGAATTATCCAGGCACAGGTCACTACTGTTAATATTGGCTTCTAGAAATAAGCCAAGACATGAATCTTCAGCAAAGAGTGCTTGGGCAGTATTTGCTAATGATGCTGCTGTCTTATACTGAACACTAGGCACCTTGTGCTCCTTGAAAGATGGTGACAGCCACAGAAAGTGAAAGGCCAGCAAACACTGCCTCTCCCTCCACCCCATCACAGCAAAGGTCGTACTGAATATGTTCCTGAACATCTTTATTCTTGCTTATAAAATGATCACTTACAAAAACAATCAGGTAGCCGGGCTTGGTGGCTCAGCCTGTAATCCCGCGCTTTGGGAGGCTGAGGTGAGTGGACTGCCTGAGCCCGCGGGTTCGAGACCCGCCTGGGCAGCGAGACCTCATCTCTACAATAAATCAAAAAATCAGCCGGGCGTGGTAGCGCATGCCTGTAATTCCGGCTACTCGGAAGGCTGAGGCGGAAGGATCGCCGGAGCCCAGCAGGTCGAGGCTGCGGTGGCCGGGAGCGGCCACTGCACTGCAGTCTGGGCGACAGAGTGAGACTCCAACTCAAAAAAATAAAAAAAAAATCAGATATGCTTCGATATACATGATATATTTGGTATATATCAAAATAGTTGTTGTCTTAGTCCGTTCGGGCTTCTATAACAAAATATTTTAGACCGGGTAGTTTATAAACAAGAGAAATTTATTGCTAACAGTTCTGGAGGCTGAGAAGTTCAGGATCAAGGCACCATAAGATCCAATGTCTGCTGAGGGCAGGCGTGTACCTCATAGATGGTGCCTTCTACTCATCCTCATATGGCAGAAGAGACAAATAAGCTCTCTCTGACCTCTTTTATAAGGGCACTAATCCCATTCATAAGGGCTCCATTCCACCTCTTAATGCTATTGCATTGGGGATTTGGTGTCTACATATGAATTTGGTGGAAACACGAGCATCCAGACTATAGCAGTGGCCTTTACCTTATATTTTTGGACAACTTACACTGTACTGAGGACTACCAGATCCTCCAGCTATTGATGTGAGCTTCTGGGAAAAGAGTAGATGATTGACAGTTTTTCAAGAATCAGTTCTCCTTTTCTAACTGAATTACTGCTAAGATCATATTTACATCTTCTTCGAATCAGTGTTTTTTCAGCCTCTGTGAGCAGTTTTTCCAGTTTGCATCTGTGTATGTACTTACTTGTAGGGAATAGGACCTGGGTAATTTTGGAGTATAACAAGTGACTTCTTTTTATAAGTAATGGCCATCTGCTTGTTTGCAGGACCTCATATGAACAGCCTTTATTTATCTGCTGCCCTTGGACTTTTGCAGACTTGGGCCTTCAGTTTCTCCCTTGTTCTGTGAACTCCACATCATGTTCGCCATGGCTGTGATCTAGCACCTTGTAGTGTCTGAGTGGGAAGAGGGCCCTCGTCAAGAGTATGCTTGTTGTTAGATACTTCAGAACAGGCTAAAATTCTGTGTTTAACTAGTCATGCCCTGCTTGTTTTCAGTTTAATTGATTTGAGCTGCTGGAGCAGGAAATTATCTATGATTACATTTGAGTTTTATATAGAATTTGCAGCTGCTTTGATGCTAAGAAGGAGGCTGGTACTTCCACCTGATTCACTCAGTTTTCATTTAATTTTCAGCTTTGGGAACCCCTCACTGGATGAAAGAAGCATTCTTGCCCCCCTCTACCAGTGTTGCATGTAAGTTACGCATGGCAAATGCATGTTTCTAGGCTCAGTAACAGCATGCCAGCTTTCTTGGCCTTGAATCTCTCTGACACCTGAGCAGTGCTTTTCATACTTCTCCAGTGTAGAACCCCTGAGAGTCTGTGAGGGGGATCAGGGAAAGGTGGAGGCAGGTAACTCAAAGCTCAGAATTCACGTCAAATTGTGTATAAATAGAAGTTTGTAGTCTATTCAGCAATACATATCTATGCTTGGTTTAATATCAGAATATAATCAACCCCCCAACACTTCCCACTCCCCTGCCAAAAAAATAAAAATAAACTGGTAAAATCTGTACCCCTGATTGCTGCACTTGGTTTACCTTGTGGTTTAAGTCCTCTCTCTTGCCCAGCACATACCTCTTGCGGTTTTCATATCTATTTTTTTTTTCTGAGTCAGAGTCTCACTCTGTTGCCCAGGCTAGAGTGCAGTGGAACATTTATAGCCACCGCTGCCTCAACCTACCGGGCTCAGGTGATCCTTCTGCCTCAGCCTTCCAAGTAGTTGGAACTACAGGCATGTGCCACCATGCCTAGCTAATTTTTTGATTTTTTTATAGAGATAAGGTCCCACCATGTTGCCTAGTCTGGTCTCAAACCTGTGTGCTCAGGACAATCTTCTCACCTCTGCCTCCCAAAGTGCTAGGATTACAGGTGTGAGCCACTGAACCCGCTGCCTATCTAAATTTGAAATTGTTTGAACCAAAAGTAACTTTTTCCATAAGTATTTAATGTTTGCTTTTTAAAAAAGAAACCTCTGTATTTAGAGAACAAAAAAATTAAAAAGTAAGTCAAGAAAACGAGATAAAGGCTGGACTCTAAGAAGCTTCTTTTCAGATCATCACTCTTGGAGTGATTTTAAAATAGATACATCAAGAATCTGCCTTGCTGGCCTACACCAGCAAGCAAGTCCAGGTACACCATCTACTGCTGGTCAACTCCCAGAAACACTCGTGTTGCTTAAGCCTCCTCCTGACAATTGGTCAGTTTTTCTTTTTGTTCTTTTTTTAATAGCAACAAATTTCTGCAGTAAGTTACAGTTTACCCAAGCAAGCCTTAATTATCTTCATTAATGTTGGGAAGCAGCGATACGTACAATCAAGAGTACACAAATATGTCTTTGAAGGAGATATTTTTGTGATAATAGTCACCTGTATCTATCTGGTCCAATCAGGAGATAGAAAAGATACAATGTGTTAAACAGGGGTGTTTAATATAAAGAATTACCAAATTCTAATACAAGAGTAACTATAAAGAAAACTAGAGCTGAGGGAGAGTACCCAAGGAAGGACAAACTTGGAAGGGGATCCCCTCACCAGAGGTGGAGTTTGGACCTTGGTGGAAAAGGTGTAGTTTAGTCCTCTGGATAGCAGAGAAGTTTGCTGGTTTGCAAATGCTGATCAAGCCAGAAGCAACCCTCCAGAGTACAGACGGGGCACAGGCAGTCAGCAGCTGGTATCATGACATGCAGAGGGACAGATGGAACCCAGTAGGAACCTTCTGTGCTGCAGGTGAGGAATGCTTGTGGGCCTGCAAAGGGAATCAGGGAGCCAGCTTACGGCTCTGGTTTCCACATCCACAGGGCCTCAGGAAAGTTACTGCTGGCTAAGATGAGGCTTCAAGGTTACTGAGGGCCTACACCTTCTGGGAACATGGCTGGTTGACATCACTGATTGACCTCTGCCACCCTCAACACCACTGACCCACAGAGAACCCCTTCTCCCTGCGGTGTCCCTCCAGCACCCTCTAATAAGAAAGTTTAAGGAGAGATGCTTAAAGGAATTCTGTCTGCTATATTCTATATATTGAAGAGTGAACTTGGAGCTGAGAGGCAGTAAAGTGATAACTTAGTTACGCAGGGGAGGCTCTGATGCTTTGAGCGTTTGTAGTATATTCCAGAATAAAATAAATCTACATATATGTTTATTCATCCCTTCCATGCTTTATGCAAAGTCAGTCTTCCTTACCTTTTACATTGTTGCAAGAACAGGCCATCTCTTACAGAGTCGGACATTTCTGCATACTTAGTAATTTCCACTTTACCCACAAGGATTTTTCTTCTGCAATAAACAAAAGATCCTCTCTAGTTGGTGTCTTAGTCAGTGTTGTACTGCTGTAACAGAATACCACAGACTGGGAAATTTATAATGAACAGAAATGTATTGGCTCATGGTTTTGGAAGATGAGAAGTCCAATAGCCAGGTGCCATCATCTGACAAGGGCCTTCTTGCTGTGTCATCATATGCCAGAAGGCAAGAGGGCAAGAGAGGATCCAACTCGCCCTTTCATAACAGCATTGTCCACCTGTGGGGGCAGAGCCTAGTGAGCTCTTAAAGGCTCTGCCTCTTAATACTGTTTACATTGGCAGTGAAATTTCAATATGAGTTTTGGAAGGGGACATTCAAATTATAGCAGTTGGTGAAATAATTAATGAAAAAAGTTATCCTTAAAATGATTTTTTCCCTCTTTTTAATATTACTGGTAAAAATTTTTTTAATTCAGAAAGATATGACGGAAATTTAAATTGCCAGTTAACACCTAAGATTGCTGTGTGTTAGCATTGTAGTGTACTTCATTCTAATCATGTGCAGGTGTGTGTGTCTGTTTTTGTTTTTGTTTTTTGTTTTGTGTTTTAGTTGGAGTCTCACTCCGTTACCCAGACTGGAGTGCAGTGGCCGCTCCCGGCCACCGCAGCCTCGACCTGCTGGGCTCCGGCGATCCTTCCGCCTCAGCCTTCCGAGTAGCCGGAATTACAGGCATGCGCTACCACGCCCGGCTGATTTTTTGATTTATTGTAGAGATGAGGTCTCGCTGCCCAGGCGGGTCTCGAACCCGCGGGCTCAGGCAATCCACTCACCTCAGCCTCCCAAGGCGCGGGATTACAGGCTGAGCCACCGAGCCTGGCTGTGTAAATAACTGTTAAATAGATTTTTCCTTCAGCTTTTTTCCCCCATGCAGCATTATATTGTGGGTATTTTCCCATGCCACTAAATTTTCAAAACTGTTTTTAATGGATGCATGGTATTGCCTTGAATAGATGAGCCACATTTTCAATTTGTCTAACTATTTCCCAATTGTTGGACATTCAGATTGTTTTATATTTTGTCTGTTATACACAGCACTGCAGTGAACATGTGTGTAAATCTTTGTATATATCTCTGAGTAATTACCCAGAAAAAAATATCAAAACATGGTAATGTGGCTTATTCATAATGTAGTTTTAAAACAAAAATGATTTTTTTTGTTAAAATCTTTTACATAATTTTTTTTTTTTACTTTTGTCTGCCAAGCAGGCCTTAAACTCCATTTGATAGTGAGACGTTTTATGTAACTTATCCTAAAACGTTTTCTTCCAGCATTCGAGTTTCTACCTGGAACAGACTGAACTACCTGAAGAATGGTGTGCTAAAGTCTGCCTTAAAATCTGCCATGGCCCATGACCCCATCTCCCCAGTGCTCTCCGATCCTCATTTGGACACCATGGACCAGCGGCTCCTGAGTATCCTGGCCACCGTGAAGCAGTGCACTGACCAGTTTGGGATGGACACTGTACTGGTGGAAGACAGGATGCCTCTCTCCCACTTGTAATTCTCAACACAAAATAAGTGAAACTTCTTTTTACAAAGATAGAGAAACAGCACAATCAATTCCAAATGGTATGAGATGGGTTAGAAATGGCCAGCAGCAAGTTCTGGTGACAGGGGACAGGGTGGCCTTAGATGTCTTTGGTGTTTTCTGTAGTAGAAGCTAAAGCAAAGACCACATGTTTCAAAGCACGGAGATGTTCCTGGTGAGTCACCTGGCTTCCTCGGCAGTTGCCCATCCAGCACTGGGCATCATGGTTTGATCAGTCCTAACTCCCATGCCAAAGGACAAACAGGTGTGATGCTTGGATAGGCGAAGGCTGGGATTGGTTCTGGAGTGTGTGTTTTGAGTTGAGCCTTGCAGTCCTTTCTCCACACCTGTGGATTTTGTGGAAACACTTTGCAATCTCTTGTGTCTTTTTTTTACCAGGACTAGTTAAATCGGAAAGCTTACTGCCTCCTACGGAGTGGCAGCAAATAAAACCTTGCATTCCATTGAGCCAAAATAGCACGTTCTGTTGGAGAAATACATTCTTAAGATAGAACTGGAGGGAAGGGCAAAAGCAGGAAGATGTTGAGCTTTTAAGCAATTGGGTAGGGAGGGAAGAAGAGAGAGACCCACTTGGTAGAACCGGAATCAGGGAGATGATTGGATTAGTGCAAAACAGGTTCTGGTGTATTTCGGTTTTCAAGATATGTAGAAAGCAAACATGACTTTGCATCTAAGTAAAATCTGCATTTTCAAAATTGTGTCCCAATTAGCCAAAAAGTTGTCTAGAGGAAATACTGTTACAGTACAAGCATGACTCTCTGTTATAGAGACTAATTTATTTTTCCATTTTGTCTAAAGCAGAAAATCCTTTCCAAACTAACAAAGCAAATTGAGGTAATACCTTGCATAAGAATCAGGTGGCCTGTGGTCTCTGCCTTCCTCATTTCTCTTCTGAAATGAATTTCCACCTCTGCCTGTAAGGTGGAAAGTTCATCTGGTCGTTAAAGCTGCCATTCCCAAGAGATGGGCAGCCCCACGTGTACCCTTCTTGTGAGAAAAGGCAACTGACTCCAACGGAGGAGAGTGTGCACCCTACTGGGTGATTTGGGTCATGCACAAGACTGGAAACAAAGATTTTAAGCCTGTGAGCCTTGAAATTAAGAAGGTTATTAGGAAGAGCCTTAAGATTTTGATTCATGTCAAATCCTAATTCCATCACTGAGTCTCGTTTGGAGTTCTGAACCCATGATGCAGTATTATGCTTGTCTCTCCTCTTAGCACACTCAAATTTCAGGCTGCTAAACACAGTTTTAGTTCTGTGTTCTGGCAGTGATTTTGCCATGTAAGCAGTTACAGTGAAACGGCCTGAGGAGGACAGGCCTGCTGTACCCACTCACCTGCGGGTGCAGAGCTGTGTGCTGCTCTTCGGCCTCTTGTCAAGGTGCGGCTCTGGTTTTGCACTTCTGTCAAGCGGAAACTCATGTTTAAACAATGTGGTTGAACCCATTGAATGCCAGCCATTGGGGACTGGTTTTAAGTAACCAGTCTTTCAAAAAACAGCTTTAGAATTTGTGCCCAGTTTTTCTGCATTGACAGATAACTGAGGAACCTGTAACGACTTTAAAATGGCATGAAATTAGGAGACTTTGGTACTTCTTATATGCATTTTGAGATGGACACATCACTGAACTGAATTATGAAAGGGATATTGAATTTAAGAAGACAGGCACGAGTACAAAACACTGAATTAGTGTTAAAAAGAGGCATTGATTTCGATTTTAAGGCTACTTGCTGTTGCAGGTCTAGTGAAATGCACAGTTTATATGAGCACACCTGGGTTGGTGCTCACCCACAGGCTTCTGGGAGCCAGCTGGCAGGGGACACTGGGAAGGATGGCACTCTGCTGTTCTTAGTAAATGGTAGCTGAGCTACATTATGGATTCGCGATTGTTCTGACACATGCCTTTAGTATGTCACACTGAAATGAACAGGAACTACTCTCGAATGGAGACGTTCATTCATAACGTTGAAGGCAGAAGATTCTGCTAAGGAAAAATACAGGAGGGAAAGCTGCTTTGAAAAATGCCTCATCCTTTCTTCAAAGCATTTGCGGAAAATGTATGATTTTATCCTCTTTTTTGCTGTTTTCAAGCTCCTGGTCTAAAAGGGTACTCTGACCCACAGTTAGAATTAAGCCAATAGAGGGACATGACATGGCACTGCGAGCAGCAATTTATGTTCTAAATCAGGACTGTAGTGAGCTGGAAAAGTCTGCTTAGGCGAAGCTTGGAGAATCAGCCATAAGCTTACAGCCCTACAATTCAGAAACACTAAATTCTGATTGAAAAAAAGAGGTGGATTTTTTAAATTTTTATTTTTGAAATTTTGTACCACTGTCCTCTTTGGGGTTTATTTATCAGAATTAATCTAGGGCTGTTACAGGCAAGCCAATGGAGAACCCTTGTCAGGTGTGCCTACCCGACACCCAGAGGTAGATGTGGAGACACAGTGATACTGTCAGAACTAGGGAAATCAGAACTAACTGCCATTCCCTGTCCTCCTCCCACTTCTTGAAAAGGTTTATTCTGAAGTTTGAGTGGGGAACTTTGGGTATAGTGGATTTTGTTCTAAAACCGTTCTTTAATATGAGGCTGCATTGTGGGTTTGGAGAGGGGTCAAAATAACTTTCTGTGTAAAACTAATAGGATCAGATTTGCTCAGAGTATTGTTCAAAACTGTATTAATAAGGCATTTTCCCCTGTTTGCACTCAGGGTTAATATGTCAAATGAAATTTAAGAAGGAAATGGAAGAATTCAGGTATATCCCTGCACATTATTTTGGGAAAGATGAATCCTATACATGGCAATGTTTCAATGTCTCCTGAAGTCAGCATTGTCTTCCAAAGAAATCCATTTTTCTTTCCCTTTAAAAAAAATGCTTTGGCCTCCCCTTCCCATCCATCATATTCCTTCAGCCTTACCTTCACCCGTGTATTCACTGACCAGTAGATGACCATACTTCAGTGATGGTAACACAGCATCTGTGTCTCATCACAGCACTCTTATGAGTCATCCTGTGAGCTCGAGCTTCAGGAAACAGGAGTGATGGCATATGTGTGTATATAGTCGTAATATGTATTCTAGCAAGAAAAACATATTTATTTGGACATGGGGGACATTGACTTGCAGAAGGACCTGCAGTCAATAAAAGGTTCTCAGTCTCTGAGAGTGGGCCCTGAGTGACAGAAAGACCATTCATTTAACAGACAGCTCCTGGGCAGCTCTGTGCCGGCGCTGGCTAGGCACGCTGGAGAGCCAGGCGGCCTGACCTTGGAAATCGATTCTACAGGGGAAGGCCGGTTTTCTCCCTTCAGCTCCTCAAGTCTGGGTGGTGAGGAGGTAGGGTCTGGGTTCTGTATTGCCCCACTTTTTTAGGAATAAAGGTGTTTTTCATAAATGCAAAATGTTAGAAAAATCTGGGACTAGCTCACTGGGAAGCTAATTTATTTGCTTGAATGGGAGGTGTAGGAGCCACGACCCTCTGTTTTGATCTGTCAGGGATTTCTTCTCGGAGCTGTTGCACCAACAGAAGTTGTGCTTGGTAAGACACCAGATAAAGACAGACACGCATCTAAATTTCTAATGTGTTCTGTGGGTTTCAATTCTGAAAAAAGAAAGTGAATAAAGATTTTAATAAATATTGATGTATCATCTTTTTTTCCCCCTTTCAGGGTATCTCCAGTGTTTCTTATTCTGATTTCCTGCCTGCTTTGCTAGAGGCAGAAGATTGCATCTTTTGTACCCACTTGAACTTCCACAGGGATTGTTTCCTAGTGTCTGATGAATGAGGCCTTTACATTTCCTCACCAGTCTTCAAAAGGTTCATACCAGGTTGTTCCTGGACCGACGTTTCCCATAGGATGGTTTGGAGGTGATCTGGGTGTACTTCGTAGCCAAGTCCATCCTTGCAGCTTCCTCAGAGGTGAGGGATGACGAATCCTGAAGAACCTGTCAGGAGAGCACCGTCCAGGCAGAAAGAGAAGGCCAGCTGCCCTCGTTGTAATTCTTAGGATGCCCAGATTTTACCTGTTGAAGTGGAAATCCAGCATCGTAAACCTCAGATAGCTGAGCAGAGTTCTTAAAGATTTGTATTTTATTTACAGCATATCTGTGCTAGTTTTTGTCACTTGTGCTTGAATCCATGTGGGAGGCTGAAGCCTGGCCCAGGTATCTTCACTGCCTCGGCCCACGCAGATCCTTTTCCAGGCTGGATTTCTGGATTCATCTGCTTCTCAAGCGAATCACAACTGGTATTAGAGCCTGGAAAAAGCCATCTGGAACAGGAAGGGCGGGCTTGTCTTTTTGGATGATTTTACCCACTGTGCTTGCCTATAAAACCGATTTATAGAGCCCTCATTTTGTAAAATAGACAATGGTCATAACCACTTGCTTTCCGTGGGCAGGGTTTTGTAAGGCAAGTTGCAGTGTAAATCCCAGGTAATAATGGTATTAAGTCACAATTTGTGAATGTTCAGTCTTCGGTCGATGTTTGGGCATTGTCCTGCGAGCTGCAGATGCCACTAAAATGGGCGACTGTCCCTTCCCTCATAGCCAATTATAGTCTAGCCTGCAGAAGACAACTCCTTGTGAGGCACCTAATGCCTCAGGAATGATGTAAATTCATTACGATGGAAATAAGGATCAGGAAAGGATTTGGGGAGCCGGTGGGAGTTAGCAATAACCACACTGAAGGAGGGGAGATTGACCCAGGCGTGGTAAGTGGTGTGGGTAGGGCCCCTGACTCCAGAAACGCAGAGCTGTGTACTTAGAAGATGCAGAGCCCCTTGGGCCTGTACTCTGTTTCCACACCTGGATCACTAGAAATATCCCCTCAGGGTTTCCCGTGGCCTGCCTTTGTCAGGAAACTCAAGGCCCTGTCTCGAGAGGACATTCTTGGTCCCTTGTGGCATAGATACTAAAGGCACCACTAGCATATAGATGGACTGGGAAAGTGATTTAATGTTTTCAGAGTTTGTTTTTCACACAGGTTTGTTTATTTAGAGATGGAGACTTGCTTTTTCATTCAGAGATTGTTTTCAAGGCAGGTGGTGCTGCCTGCCTTCAGCAGGGTCAGGAAGATCTCTATTGTAAAGCCAGGTCCCATTCAGATGACCCTGGTAAAGGTGTTGTATGCCCATTTTCCCTAAGAAATACCTTTTTAACGTGCAGGGTTTGATTCAGAAGGGCTAGGGCCCGGGGTTTTGCATTTCTAACAAGCTTCTGGGTGATACCAGTGTCGGGATTCTGGGCCCACACTTGAGTAGCCCCATGCTTGCTGAGGAATTAAAGCTGCCGGCGGTTCTCACAACAGCCTCTAGATGTCCCCATCTTCCCTGGGATTCTGTCCCGACAGTTTGCAACCAGCTGCCTCCAAGCCCTGAGACTGGGCTGAGGCAGAAGGATAGTCTAAGCCCAGTAGGTCGAGACTGCGGCAGCCGTGAGTGTGCCAGCCTAGGCGACAAAGAGTGAGACTCCAACTCAAAAAAAAAAAAAAATACTTAAGATGTGTCTAGAAACTAGTATTTGAATTCATTGTTTCTATGTGGGACTGACTTTTTGCTGGTAAAAATGTTTACCTCTTTTTTAGGAAACAAATAATACTTTGAAATCAAGTTGTTTGTCTAAGAACTTCCCAGCTACCTACTTATTTACCATGAAATGCTAAATCCAAATCAGAACAGCTCAGATATTAGCAGTCAGCCCTACATGAAAATTACAAGTAGAGAGAAAATTCTTTCCCCAAGGCTTTGAAATGTGGATTGTTACAATAACTATTATCACTAGTAGTTTTATCATAAGTTCACCTATAAACTTCACCAGCATTAACTAAGGCCTGGCATCCACGCCTCCTGTGTAAACCACCCAGAGCCTCTTGCAGGGCTTGGCTTATGAAATATAAATATAACATGTATCGAGTGTTTATGATGCACTCACTGAATGAGCTCATTTGATCTTCCCAGCATTCCTGAGGTAACTTTTATTATCCCTATTTTAACAGGTGAGGAAATTGAGGCATGGGGCAGCTAAGTAACACCCAAGGCTACACAAATAGAAAATGGTAGGCGCTGTCAACTGAGCACTATACTAGACTGCCATTCACACTCAAACAACATTTGTCGGATGAGCTAATGTTTTCAAATAGACACGATGGCGTACACACTGTTCACCATCCTCTGCAGGATTCCCCAAGCTTGATGCACTTAACGCTGTACCGGTGCCATGACCGCTGCTCTATGAAAAGTTTTGTTCAAGTTTGACGTCAGTATGAGTGGCTGAGACACAATGTACAAATACAGTATGCCTTTTCAACTTAACCCTCCTGGCGTCCTGATAGAGGTGCTTATCTGGTTTCTGTTTGAATGAAAGGCAGTGGCAGACTTGGTGGGCTGCTGGGATGGCACAGACCTGGCAGGGAGTGTGATGTCAGACACTAGGATAACCAAAGTCCATTTTCCTGTGACATTGGTGAGACATGGCACTAGGATTCATCTCTCTGGAGGGTCCAACCTCAAAGCCACTAAACATATGACAGCCAACTCCCCTGATGTCTAGACAGCAGTTTTCTCCTAGGACAAGAAGGCTCTTCGGCCGCTGGCTTTAGTAATGGGTGGTTTGGAAACCTGCATTAAGCTCTTCTGAAGTCTAACGACCTTGTACGGTGCTCCAGCGCTGAAGGAGAGGCCCTGAGTCTTCAACCCGATCTGATTGGCTACTCAGAGCCACAAGCACTTGAAATTTGCAAACCTAGCCAAGAGAGTGCACACAGTACTTAGTCTAACTTTTTAAATATACGATATGTAATTACATTGACGTGAGACCTTATGACTCTGGGGGTTTCCAAAACCCAAATACCTCCAGGCTGGGGCAGGTCAGCTTCTGCTTGCTTTGGTGGCTCCCAGCTGAGGAAGGAAACCTGCTGGTTATTTGCCCAGTTTCATTTCCCCCTGTTGAGAAGCCAGGGTGACCTCGGCCTACAGCCTCGCTGCTGCGCTGTCGATTCTTTCCAGGGCCTCTTCAGCTGACATCCTGGCCAACGGGACGCTCTTGGCTGAGACATTTCCCTGGCTGCGTCTACCTGGCTGGCAGGAGGTTGCTCTGTAGGCATGAGGCAGGGCGCCAAAGGGCATCCTTATTTGGTAGGCCTCTGATGGGCCACCAGAAAGTCCTAGCAGAGTAATGGATGTCCGAAAGTCCTAGCAGAGTAATGGATCGTGGCCATTTTAAGGCCTGATTTCACCTTCTCTGCAACCAAAACTAATCATACTCCGGAATAGACTGCTTCCTGGAAGCCAGAGGAGTGGACCGGGCGTCACTGCCTGACTGGGTCCTCATGCCTGCTGCAAGAGAGCCCATTCAACGAGACAGCAACTTTGACAGTAAAGAAAGAGTTTAGTTATTGCAAGGCAACCAGATAGGAGACAAGAGGTATTTCGCAAATCCCCTCCAAGAATTTTTAGGCTTGGCTTTTTAAATTTGGCAAGCAGGGCCTAGGGAATGGGCACTGTTGATTGGTTGGGCATGAAGTCACGCAGGTCTTCAAACCCAGTCAGTGCGCAAAGCCCCGGGGTCTGGGCCGGTGGAGTCAGCTCCTCTGCCTGGGTCAGGGATCTGGGTGGGGCCCGTGTTGGTCCACCAAAATGCAAAGTCTGAAAAATATCAATATCAAGGCTTTACAATGGCAGTTGGGGAAGTTACACGACTTGCGACCCCACGTGACCTGACTCCCGGGCCCAGGGAACCGGACTATGGCTGGTTACCATTTACCTCTGCCTACAGCTTTCCAGGAAAGTGTGCAGGAGGTGGATCAAACTCCTGGATACCATCAGGGAGGTCTGCAGGGCCTAAGACTGGTGGTTCGAGGGAAAATACATTCATCAATCTCATGGCAGCTTTCCCTGGGGGTCGGGACACGAAGGTAGTTATCAGTGACTGCTGTATTGACGCGACTGTGCGTCAGCCATCATGCAAGGAAGACAAAGTTAGAAACCACAAATTTGTTCACTTTTATGTACAACTTTGCAGGACTCGGGTCTTTTCCATGGCGTCTATCTTGTGGCCCTGCATCAAGTTTCTACAGGCGGCTTCACCAGCCAAAAAGCAAGTCCGGGGACGCCCTCCAAGACCTGCCAAGCTTCCGGCCTCGCCTGGGTCACGTGGCAAGCGGTGGCCGCCAGAGCGCTCGGCCCCACCCGCCGGGCGCCTTGGCAACGCCCAGCCCGGGCCCCGCCCACCCTGCCCGGGACTTAAAAGGCCCTGCGCGGCCGGGCCGGAAGGGCACCGCCTGGGCTTGCCATGCTCCGCCGGCCGCGGCCCCCGCTCTGGGTCTGCCTCCTGCTGCTGCCGCTGCCGCTGCCGCTGCCGCATCTGGGCGCGGCCGGCGACCGCGGCGACGCCAGACGGTGGGAGGAGGCGGACGAGCCGGGCTCGGCCTGGGCCTGGCGGGGCCTCCGACGCCTGCAGGAGCGGCTGAGGACGGCCGGGGCCCTCTCCAGGCGCTACTGGGCGCTCTTCAGCTGCCGGGTGTGGCCCGACGACTGTGAGGAGCGCGAGGCGGCGGCCGCGGGGCCCCCGGGTAAGACCTGACCCCCGGCGGGACGGGCGGAGAGAGGCCGGGGCGGCCGTCCCGCCCCCCGCCGGCCAGCCGTGATACTCCGCCCAGGAGCCCGGTCCCTGCCCCCGCCGCGCTCCCAGCCCTGGCGCCGCCCCCCACCTGTTCCCGCCTCGCGCGCGCTTCCCGTGTGGCTCGCGCGTCGCCACCCCGGGTTCCAGTCCCCAGGGGCTGCTCCTTCCCGCCTCCTGACGACGTAGGGAGAGTCCGCGGCGGACGCCCTGGCGACCGCCTTCTCCTCCCGCTCCGCCGCGCTTGGAGGCGAGGCCTGAGGACGCAGCGCCGGGGCTGGAGTTGGGACCCGAGTTCAGGTGCCTGCTTTTCGCTGGTAGATTGCGAGGCAGGGTTGTCACATCGCCGTCGTGGACCACATGGTCTGGTCGCCGTCTCACAGCTCCTCCTTTCCAGGTTGGAGCCTTCCTCTGTTGGGCCAGCAGTACCTGGATATCCTGACCACTTGGTACTGCAGCTTCCAGGGGTGCTGCGACAGTGGGGACTGCAGGATCTCCAACAACGTGACAGGTTGGAGCCCCATGGCCTCAGGGCGCTAGGGACGTGTGGGGGAGGGGAGGCCATAAGGGGAAATGGCCGGGTGCAAGGGAACTCTCCTCATCCCTGCCCAGCCTCCCCACAAGCAGAAACTGCCGCAAGATTGAAGTCAGATCTGCAGTTCCTTGAGGATCCTTGGGCAACACGTTGAACTGCTGGGTTTTCCAAAATAACTCCTTCCAACAGTGGAACCATGGGACACCAACATGAGTGGTAACAATAATAGATTTGCATTCTTCCATCTGAGAACAGAGGCCCGATCCTAGTTTTTGAAGGATCAAAATACTTGAATCAGGAAGCCCCTTTTAGCCTCTAGCTTGGTGGCCCAGGCAAACAGCTTGTTTCATGGAGTTTGGGGAACCATGGGAATGCCGTGAACAGGTCACGCTGAAGACAGCTGGGAGGAGGGGACATTGTCATATATAGAACAGGCCCTTGGATACCACTGGGTCTCGACTGAATCTTCCTCTGCTCATTACCACCTACCTTTTCACCATGTCTTCCTGCCACCCCTGGGGGTGTGTCCCAAGAGGAAGGAAGACCAATAGCTGCTGTACTTACCAGGCACTGTGTTGGGAGTTTCGCAGGAACTGACCCACGATCTGTCATCGCCTATGACCCTTTGGGAGAGTCAGGCCCGAGTACCTTGTCTCTTTCCAAGCAGAAAGTGCAGCCTCTCAGAGGGTGCCTGGAAGTGTCAAGTGAGAGAACTGACCACAGTTTTGGGGTTGTGATTGAAGGTGTCCCTTTCTAACCTTCAGCCAACAAATGTCTGGGTGACTCAGCACAAGTTTCTGTTTATCTAGGATCAGTGGGGATGCCCTTGACTCCCCATCCTAAGAGAGATAAAAGATTATTCCTCATTATAAACGGATCCATCTGAACCATAGCATGGACTGGAAACACCATGTGCCTGTGCATTCTTCTGTCCACCCCCGCCCCTCCAAACAAGGCACTGCTGGCCAGCTAGCTGTCTAATTGACCTCCCTCCAGTGAATTTTCTGATTAGTTCAGGGGACTTGATTGGTATACTGCAGTTGATTTGCGTTTTGGCTTTCGAACAGTGATCTTTAGCCCCAGGTACTGAACCTACCCTGCTATTTGCAAAAGTTTCCTGTTTTCCTCCAGCAGTTTTTTTTTTTTTGCCTAGAATTCTCCTGATCCCAGCTCTCAGTCTCCATAAATGAGGGCTACCCTAGCTGTCAGGTCACTTAATGGGCAAAAATGCTAATAACACAGTGTCTAAGGACAGCGGCTGGTTCAGGATGGAAGATTGGAGAAAGTCTGAGTTGAGATTGCTGCTGACTCGGGACAAGATCCCTGGTGGCAATTGGCAGGTTACCTCCCTGCCCTCCACAGGCCGCTGCTCTGCCTGGGCCTAGATTTCCAGTTGTTCTGGCTGGGGAATCAGGAACACCCACTAGATTCCTGTCTCGCCTTTAACTTGCTGCCAGGCTCTGGGCAGTCCTTTCCAAGTCTGTTTTCTCAGTTGTGAAGATTAGATATAAAATACATAGCACAGTTCTGAGTTCAGAGAAAACAGCACAACTGTTAGTTCCCCCTGCTATGTCACTGCTGCCACTGCTACCTCAGTGTTTTGCAGTAGACCTTCGCCTCCCAGGGCTCCAGGGTACTCCCTCTGGCCTGGCTCGAGTTAACCAACCCGTTGATCCTGAACTTGGAATGGCCCATCCCTCACCCACAGCTAGCACATACTCTCCCTGTCTCCACTGTGGCTTCTGTAGCCCTTGTCTCCAAATCCTGGCTGTGAGGAAGTAAGGCCTAGCAGAGGGCTTTGCACAGCAGCTGCTCTCAACAAATGTTTGCTGGACTGAATCAGGATGAATAAAATGGGGCTTCTCCATAAAACACCTAGGAGTCCTGAAACAGGGATAGGAGTGACCTCAGGCTAGGGGGCAGGGTTTCTCCTCCAGAAAGTTCTGTGTCAGCTCTGGGGTGTCTTTGGGATCAGAAAGCATGATTCCATCTCTCCCTGAGTTCAGTTTTAATTTCCGAAATTCTCAAAAAACAACCCCTGAGTCCCTCCTGCCTCAGGTCTGCCCGCTGGCTTCTGAGACCAAACAGGACAAATAGCTGATCCCAGCTCAGAGCTGCTTGGTTGCCCGGTTTCTGTGCCGTCAGCTGTTGGGGAAAGCCCATGTGTGCCTCACTGTGATTTCTTTCCTGCCCTCAGGCCTAGAGTTGGATCTGAGGGAGCGTCTGCACGGCCAGCATGTGGCCCAGAAGCTGGTCCTCACGACGGTGAGGGGCTACCTAGAAACACCTCAGCCAGACAAGGCCCTGGGTCTGTCTTTCCATGGCTGGTCTGGCACAGGCAAGAACTTCGTGGCACGGATGCTGGCAGAGAACCTGTATCGAGACGGGCTAAGGAGTGACTGTGTCAGGATGTTTATTGCCACGCTCCACTTTCCTCACCCCAAGTACGTGGACGAGTACAAGGTGAGGAGCGTCGCTGGTGGGACTGGGGCCAGGCCTCTGTGCCAGGAAGGGACCCTAATGCTAGCCCTTCCTTGCAAGGAGGTGGGTTATGGAGAAGCTTAGGGGACAGTGAAGGGCAGGCAGCTGTTGCGACAGAACCTGTAACAGAGACGCTTCATCTTCTCCTCACCAAGGAGGCCCTGAGCATCTGGAGGAAAGACTCAAGTTCCAAACAGTACCCCTGAGTTCTGTCTCCTTAACAGCCACACATGTGAAGCCAGATGCTGCGCTTAAGCACAAGTTGTTTGTTGGTCTTTCTGTTATTCTTTTTTCCTTTTTAAAAATAATTTTTTTAGCTGGGCTCGGTGGCTCAGCCTGTAATCCCACGCCTTTGGGAGGCTGAGGAAAGTGGATTGCCTGAGCCCGCGGGTTCAAGACCCGCCTGGGCAGCGAGACCTCATCTCTACAATAAATCAGAAAATCAGCTGGGCGTGGTAGCGCATGCCTGTAATTCCGGCTACACGGAAGGCTGAGGCGGAAGGATCGCCGGAGCCCAGCAGGTCGAGCCTGCGGTGGCCGGGAGTGGATGACAGAGTGAGACTCCAACTCAAAAAATAATAATTTTTTGTAGAGACAGGGTCTTGCTGTGTGACCCCAAGTGATGCTTCCACATTGGCCTCCCAAAGAGTTGAGATCACAGGTATGATCAACCACATCTGGCTGATTTTTGTTATAGAAGTAACAGAAATGTCACAGAAATGTCACAAGCACTGTGGAACAGAGAAAAGCAAAAGCTTTATCATAATCTCACACAGCCACAACCTTGTTGGCTAACAAGAGTTAGCATTTTAGTCTACTTCCTCTGGTGTCAAACCATTCTCCATGCTGTTTATGTCATTGTAATGATATTGGACAAAAGTCGCATGCCCTAATTTTTTTTTTTTTTTTTTGAGTTGGAGTCTCACTCCGTCGCCCAGCCTGGAGTGCAGTGGCCGCTCCCAGCCACCGCAGCC